GTTACTCCTCCAACCTCTCCAGAGAAGCAATGAGGTCAGTCCTCCAGGAACAAGAATCTGGCTCAGTCACTCACCCAGTTACATACACCCAGTCACTGGGTGTTCACATGATGTGATGATGATGATGAATAATAGACCTAGGCATAATGAAATGTCACGTATCTGGTTCAAAAATACAGGCTGGGGTGGGCGGAATCCTTTTGGCTGGCGAGGGTCGGAATACCTATTTGAGAAAGGTCCGTAAGTCGCATAAAGCAATATTTTGTGTTTCCCTTGCAGAAACATAACAACATTTACACAATGTGTATTCAAGCTGTGAAGCAGAAATGCTCTCATGCATTCCATGCCGAGATGTGTAGCTCACCAGGAAGCTCACAGGGAGTTCCTGGTACCTGCCATCTACTGTGCTTGCCAGATATCAAACGACCCACTACTGAGTACTTAGGGTAAACTTAGCTGAGCTGGCTCCAAGGTTATGTGCATGGCATGCAATGTCAGAATCGAGTCAATCCTCTGCAGCGGTCTCAGTAGCCTATTTCCTGAGCCAGGCAGCTCCACATGCACTGAGGAACTCACAGACATAAACAAGAAGTTGCATTTATACAGCCCCCTTCAAGTAGTTGGAGCATTTTACAGACAGGATTGGATGGGGAAGAGAGGGATGTGACCAAAGGCACAGTTGAAGAGGTAGGTTCTTGTGCAAGATTCAAACAGACAGAGAGTGAGAAAGAGGGGGAGAGGGATGGAGTTTCAAACGGTGGAGCTTGGGATGCAGGGATAGGGCAAAGGAGGTGGGGAATGCGTAGCAAAATCTGAGTTAACCTAAGTAGGGGGCAAACAGAGGAATGGGGTAAAAGGAAATGAGAGACAGGGAGGTGCCAGGGCATGAAGGTATTCATATGTGAGGTTGAGAACCTTGACATCAACCTACTGGGAGCCAGTAGAACCTGGCAAGGATTGATGGGAGTGGGTGTATGCAGTTTGGAATGGGTAAGATAGAGCCTGTGGATGATGGAACTGGGGAGACCAGTGAGGAGTGTGTTTGGAGGTGTTAGAGGAGAGGATGAGAATTTGGGCTGCATTTGTTGTGAGGTAGGAACAGAGGTACGGAATGTGGTGGAGAGGAAGCAAAGCAAGTCAGGGACCAAATGTGAGGGAGAAATATATGATCTAACCTAATGCCAATGTTCTCCACTGGTTCAGTGAGTTGGAGAGAGACTGGGAGGCTGAGGAGGTCAAAGTCAGGAAATGTTGGTGTAAGATGTTTTTCATCTTGTCCACTATCTTTCTGTCCATAGTTTGGACACACATTGAGCAATGGTTCCAAAAACTCCGAAAAACTGAGACATATCCTGAGACCTTGATGTCATATAGGCAGGTGGTAGAAGATCAGTGGACCTGGAATCAAGAGTGGAAGTGGAAAAATAGATTTGGTGACATGACAATGCCACCAAGAGGGAGCATGTTGACGAGGAATCCTGGTCCTCACCTGCGAAGCTCTCAATGGCCTCGCCCCACCCTATCTCTGTGACCTCCTAACCCCCTAACAACCCGACCACTCCCTCCGCTCAGCCGGCTCTGGCTGCTCCATGTCCCCCAACCCACCCGCCCCACCATTGGCAGGAGAGCCTTCAGCCACTCTGCCCCTAACCTCTGGAACTCCATCCCCCAATCCTGCCTCAAAACCCTCCTCTTCGACCATGCCATCGGCCACCCCCCTTCCCCTCCCTTCTCCCCCCCGACCCCAGCTTGGGTCTGAAATGCTGTCACTGTCCAGCGCCTTGGGACGTCCTCCCCACGTGAAAGGCGCTATACAAATGTAATCTTGTTGTTGTTAATAAACAGCTACAAGTTTCCTGCTTACAACTGCAGATGATTTAGGGCAGGCTGATCTCAACCTTCCTTGGGGACACCAACATGCCAATAATCCTTTGGCTAATCGTTTAGCCTACAAACCCCCACGGTATCCCATGCCCATGGCATCCAGTATCCCACTGTGTCCAATGATGTCCAACCTCTTATCATTTGTTCAGTTATTTTACACCCCAAAGGTTGGACGCATGATCCAAGCAGAGAGCCCAGCAGAGTGAGGAGGGAACTGAGTGAGGTGCAACAGATTGAGATTTCTGATAAGGGATTAGGTGAGAGTGAGAGTTCATGGATCCAGTGCCTTCGGACGCTCTCCCGACGTGAAAAGCACTCTATAAATGTAATTTGTTGGTGGTGTTGATTTTGGTGCAGAGGGGGAAGGAGGTGCAAAAGAAATAATATAAAAAATGTCTGGGAATATGACAGGGTTACTGAGACCTGTTGCATGCACATCCTGTGTCATGTGGGAAATCCAGGATGATTCATGTATCCTGGACAACCATGTGTGTAGAAAGTGCCTCTGGCTCCTCGAACTCCAGCTCAGGTCTGATACTGTTAGTCAGCTCCATCACTCCTGAAATCCAACTGAATCAAAATTCCGTGACCCATATTCTCAGCACCCTCATGACCGACCCCAGTTCTTGCTAGGCTCCCCTGGCTCCCTATTGCAAAATGGATCAATTTCAAGACGCACATTTCACTTACAAATCAGTTTGTGTACCTCCCTACTTCTCCGATCTGCTTAGACTCCTCTACTTGCCTCCTTCACTCAGTTGGCTCCAGCCTTATTATAATAATAATATTTTACATTTGATATAGTGCCTTACACCATTAAGACAACTCAAAGTGCTTCACAGAATGCAATGTTAAGTGAATTGACTATATTTTGTAGACGAAACGTGGCAGCCAATTGCACACAGCAGTGATTCACAAACAGTCATGGATTGAGACAGCAAATTTTGTTAAAAGGGATTATTCTGGATCCCCAGAAAAACGATCTGCCAATCGACTAACAACCGGGTTCCTACTTACTGTTAGGCAAACAGAGGCGTGTGGAGTAAAAAAACTTGCCTAAGGTTTCGCCCTGGGTCCCAGGTCCTCTCGCTTGCCAGGTGAGTGTTCTAACCAATACGCTACAAGACTCATAATGCACGTGACTCGTCGCCTTCGCTCTACCATCAGCGGTCATGTTTTCATCCACTACACCCTGAAACTCTGCCTCAATCCCTCCTTGCCAATCTTTAGATTGGACCTGAAAACCTTGCTCTTTGAGCATGCCGATCATCACCTCCCTTGTCTATCCGGTTTGGAATCAAGCTCCACTGTTCAGCATTGCAAGACAATACCCTATATAAAGGACACCACATAAATGCAAGTTGTTATTGATTCACAATCCTGAATTATTTTAGATTTTGTACTTTCTAAAGTGGGTTGCTACATGTTATTCTATAGTTCTTTTCCTTGAAATTTTAAGAATATGTTTACTTAAATGGTATATAGATATTTCAAATCACTCTTCCACTGCATCACTAGTCAAATTTGGATCTGCTTAATACATTGAGATGGTAGCTTCTCTAGGTGTCCTGATCAACAATCCTCCAAATAAAATTTGTCATTCAATTCATAGCTATTAGTGGAGCACTCCTGTGAGGTCAACCAACTAATGTGGTCAAAATTTCTCAGTCTATTTGTTGGCCTTCATATGTTTCTACTGGATATCAATATATGCAACCCACAAACGACTCCATTGTAACATTTTATTATTGGCTCCTCATATGGAAGGTATACTGATTGTAGGTGGGACCTTAAATATGTTCACTCACCAAAAGACACGGGGTAGCCAGGGACCCTTCTTGGAGGGTTATGATGTGCTGGGTGTGATGGAATCTGACATACTCTGCGGCTGCAAACAATAAACTACAACTTGCATTCCTACTCTCATAAATCATGCTGGAGACTAAATTGCTTCCTAAATCAAAAAAGCCCTCCTATCTCAAGTATTGGACTGTGAATTGGCAACACTGCTATCGCAGACCATGTGCCTCTCACTCTGAGATTCGAGTTGGAGAATTTTCCCCTAAAGGTTCACTAACAGAGAATCAATACATCCCTTCCAAGCGACTTGGAGTTTCTTGGTCCTCTCCACAGAATCTTCTTACAAGAAAACAAAAGCCCCAAAACCTCTCCCACCTTACTGTAATTTTTACTATAATCTTAAGATGAGACCCACTAACCATGCACCATCCAGTCCATCATCAATGCTCTTAAGCTGACCAGTGATATGGTGACCGGAGATGCAATGCTCCCACCAAGATGGAGCATGTAGACGAGGCAAAGGAGGTGCCAAGGATAGAGTCCTGAGTTACACATGCAAGGTCACCTGCAGTGTACGATGATTTGATGATGATCTCCATGCATCTGACACACAATTGGTGCTTACCAAACAGTGCCAGGATAGCGACTGGGTCCTGAGTGAAGGACAAACCTCTCCAGCAGAGCTGGCTCCAGATGAGCAAAACACAGGACAGGGAGTAACTGAGGGCAGGGAATCATGAAGGATGCTTCCCTCCAGGGAGAGAGTGTACATTCCATTTAATAGGGTTAACAGGAGCTGAGTGAGATGACTCCCTGCTCCCAGTGGCTGGTTTGACACATGCAGAAACTCATCACCATGCTTAAGAGTATCCAAACTAAACTGAGGATTCCATGCATCCCACCTACACAAGGAAATCAGTGATAAGATTGTTGGAAGGGAATGCGCTCTCTCCCTGGAGGGATGCAACCTGCTTACCTAATTGCAGAAAGTATTAGGTGCAGGTTAGCAAGAGCCAAGGCTTGGAGACCCAAGAGTGTTTTGTTTGTTGGGCAACTGCTGAAGTCTAACCAGCTAAAATTGAATACCTTACTATTGATACTGCTGTCAAGGCAAGCTCCTGCTGCTTGTCCAGCTAGGACCACCCTACCCATTTTGGCTTTGGCTGCAGGGTTATCAGGAGCTGAGCACGATGACTCCCTGCTCCCAGTGACTGGTCTGTCCCTCCAAGTCCTGCTGATGAGGCATACTGGGCTGCGCTGTCAACAGCAGTGCCCTGGAATACTCTGGGTTTAATTAAAACACTTACACAAGCATCTAATAGACACCGTCATTTATTTTGTATAAATTCTCACATAAACTCTAGGATTCAGTCAAAATGCTCAGTAACACATGCAAATTATACACAATGGGGTGAAGAATGCAGTGAGTGCTTGATATGCAACAGTACAATACTCGCTCCTGGACACGTCCCAGTGATAATACAATATAAAATTGCATTCATGTAATCTTTGAGGGTGGGCCCTCACTCCCCACCCAGCATTTAATAAGTGGCCAAAAGCCAAAATAATGTCCGTAATTATTGAGGCCTTGCCCTGTTTGCACCAAAGCCTGCTGGTTTAAGGAGCACGTCACTGAAGTGCTTCACGGGATACAGTGAGGGGCTGGTTTCTCGTGGCAGTTATCACTTAGATACCATCTGGAAGTACAACATACCACAATGTGACAGTCACAATCACACTTCTCACCCCATAGTCCATTCTTGGTTACAGTGAGATCTCTGAACAAAGTGGGCTGTTCTCTCAGTCCAGGCAGTCACTCCAGCCTTGAGATGTCTTGATGTACATTTCAGTCCAAAGTTCCTGGAAGAGTTTCAATGAAGTACAGTAAAACCCTCATGTTCACAATAAGCCTTGGCCTAATCCGGCCTGCCCCAGCCTCCCAGATTACCCAGAATGCCAATGTCACAGGGGCCACTGGAATCATTGAGATCCGCAGCTCTTGTTCTCACTGGGATGGATACTTGTGGGCAGAAACCAGCTACACTCTGGAGGGCATGCCTCAGAGAAAGTCCTGTTGACCAGCACAAGGAGGGTAGCTCCAAGGCAAGTTGGAGGTTCTTGGCTTGGATCTGTAAGATCTTCCCCTTTCCCCCAGAGCAACTTATAGGAATTCACTGTAATGCCGTCCGTAATGCTCCATTACATCCATTAGCAAGGCTCCGCAGTGCAGAGTCCACCTTGTCCCACAAAATATACAGTCAATTCACTTTACAGGATATTGTTTGTAGCTCTTTTGAGACCTCTCAAAGATGTGATAAGGCACTATATCAAATGCAAGGATTATTATTATTTACCCCCAACAGATTGGATCCTTTAGGCTTTCAATCTGTTCCACCAACTTTTTCAACCTCTGTGCTGCCTGTTGGCTACATTGCACGTAATGCTCCCTCCAGACCCCAAGAATACCTTCATGGGTCTGTTATAGATAGATCCCTGTGTTTGCCAAACACTGGCACAAGCCCAAAGGGACCCCCTATTCAGCCACAGCAGTGGACAGAATTAAATCAGCGGAAGGATTTGGGAAGGTTCTTGTGCAGTTGTTCCCCTTTTTGTAGTGATGATCCCACTTCATTTGTCTAAAAACCTTCCTGGCTTCATGCTGCGCTGTTTGCTGCCTTTGCTGCTTTCTAACTTGTTCCAAGGAAGCTTCCAAAATTACATTATAGGCCAAATAGCCTCATATTTCTTCTTCCCAGACCCAATTTCTCCAAATCTCTCCTCATAACTAAAGCCCCACATCCCTGGGATTATCCATAAACCTCCTCTGCACATCATCCAAGGCTTTAACATCTTTCTGGAAGTGAGGTGCACAAAGCTGGATGCAGGACTCTAGCTGTGGCCTAACCATTGATAACTACAAAGTTAGCATTATTGCTGTACTCTGCCCTGGGCATAAAACCCAGAATACTACAAGCTTTATTTACAGCCTTTACCACTTGTGATATCACATTCAATGATGAAGTATCCCAGGGGAAAACAGATGCAGCACATAGAAAGGCAGACACAGGATTAACCAGAATATCAGTTCAGACACAGTTCTTGATGTTTTGTAAACTTTCTGGAGCTTAACTGCGATCCGCCTCCATGTTGGACATTAAACTGGAGTTGTGAAATCATCAAATTGTTAGCTATTCTGTCCAAAAGCACAACAAAGTGATAAGAGGCAATAGAAACAGAGATATCTGCCTCTAGCCCTAAAGATTTACCTTCCAGAAATGCAAACTCATCTGTAGCATCAACTGCATTATCTGGAAAAGGAGAAAAGTAATTTCAAGATGGTGGGTGTGGGGGGAAAGAGGGTGAACAATATAACAAGTACTTCTTACTCCCCAACAATGGATCAGCCTCACGTATAATATAGATCAAACTCCCTTGAGTAGAGAGCGAAGGCGATAATCAGGTTTCCGTGCTGCGCACCACACGGAAATGGCCCTGGTCAAAGTCACAAACAACATTCTGAATATCTGCGACCAGGGCTCTCTCTGCCTCCTAGTCCTCCTCGACCTCTCTGCTGCCTTCAACACGGTTGACCATTCTATCCTCCTACACTGCCTCTCCTCTCAGCTCAATCTTTGCGAACCTGCCCTTGCCTGGTTCGAATCCTACCTCTTCCACTGTCTCCACTAACGGCTTCTCCTCCAGCCCCCGCTCCATCACGTGTGGCGTCTTTCAGGCCTGTACCTTGGTCCCCTCATCTTCAACATCTATATGCTCCCTCTTGGTGACATCATCCACAGACATGGGGTCAACTTCCACATGTACGCGGATGACAACTCTACCTCTCTGTCTCCACCCTTGACTCCAGGACCCACTGCTGTCCTGACAGAATGTCTGTCAGACCAAATCCTGGATGAGAGCTAACTTTCTTCAGTTGAATGTCAACAAGACCAGGACCCTGATTGTCCTGTCAGCGCCTCCTCACCTCAGGCACTGACAGCATCACCTCCATGGTTGCACCCTCCACCTCACAGAGCCAATATGGAACCTTGGTGTCCTGTTCAACCGTCAACTATCCTTCATATCACACATCTGTGCCAGGACCCGCTCCGCTTTTCTCCACCTCTGCAACATCGCTCGGCTCCGCCACTGTCTCACACTGCAGGCCCGAGACCCTCATATACGCATTCATAACTTCCAGGCTCAACTATGCTTGTCGACCTCCCCAAATCCTTCCTCCACAGGCCGCAGATCATCCAGAACTCTGCAGCCCGTGTCCTCTCCCCCGCCAGGCTCCATGACCCAATCACCCTCAGTCCTCGCCCGACTCCACTGGCTTCCCATCAGACAGAGGATACAGTTCAAGATCCTGGTCCTCACTTTCAAAGCCCTCCATGGTCTTGCTCCTCCCGACCTCCTAACCCCCCACCATCCTGCTCGCTCCCTCCGCTTAGCAGGCTCCGGCCTGTTTCACGTCCATGCTCTGGAACTTCATCCAGCAGTTCCTCCGCCTCGTGCCCTCTCTTGCCTCTTTCACGTCTGAAGTCCCTCCTCTTCGACCGTGCCTTCGATCACCCTCCTTCCCGCCACCCTCCACCATGCCCAATCCTGTCCCTCATTTCGCATCCGAAACACTGATTGTCCAGAGCCTTGGGATGTCCTCCCGAGGTGAAAGGAGTTATACAAATGTAATTTTGTTTTGTAGAGCAATCATCGGTCTCACCTAAATCCTTTCTCTGAAGAGTTTTACGCTTTCCCTGCAAAGCATAAAAGTACGCATCCCTCGCGATCATCTCAACAAACAGCTCCTGTCAGAAAAACAAAAAAATACAGTGTAGCTGCAGGGAGACTCCGCTTAGGTGTCAGAATCGATCCCCACTTAACCTTCCTCCCCCACATCCGGTGCCTGACCAGCACTGATTTCTTCCACCTCCAACGCATCGCCCGTCTCCGATAATACCTCACCCCAAAATCTGCCAAAACCCTTGTCCATGCCTTTGTCACCTCTCGGTTGGACGACTCTAACACCCTCCTCGCCAACCTCCACTCCTCCACTATTCACAAAATTCAGCTCATTCAAAACTCCACCACCCGCATTCCCACCCACACCAAACCCCGTCCTCCGATTACTCCAGTCCTTGCCAAATTCCAATGACTCCTGTCAGAGAGCGGATCCACTTCAAAACCTCATATAGTGTTTAAAGCCCTCCATTGCTTGCCACCCCATCTCCCTAACCTCCTTTCTCCACACAGCAGTACATACTGCCGCCGCTCTACTGGATTCGGCCTCCTCCACGTCCCCTGAATCCTCCGCTTCACCATCGGCTGCCAGGCTTTCAGCCGCTACACCCCGAAACATTAGAACTTCCTCCCTCGACCTCACCCCCTCCTTCCCCATCTTCAGGTTGTGTCTGTAGACCTTCCTTTTCGACCGCGCCTACAGTCACCTGCCCCCGGCTCAGCCTTGGGCTCCGCCATTGTTAAGCTCTGAGACACCTCCCGGCTTGGAGGGCGCTGTGTACATAAGTGCGAGTTGTTATTACCCGTCCCCTCCCGGTGAGCCGCTCCCCCCCAGCAGGAAAGTCACCAGTTTGATGTCTGACTGTGTGTGGAGCTTCCCAGCTCAGCATTGCCCCCCCCCCCACTCTCCTCCTCCCCCCCACCAATACACCCCCCCCCCACCCTACCGCCCAACTGCCCCCACTCTCTATCCCTCTCTACCTCCCCCGCTGTCCACATGGCCTTCCCACTGAACCTTGGGGGAGCCCAGACCACCAAGCGGGGGGAGGGAGGGGGGGGCACACTCACCGCCGCTTTGCCGATAGCGAACACGGCCTCCTGACTGGCGAGCGACACCTCGGGATCCGCTTTGATGAGGCCTTTGAGGCGGCTGAGCGGGAGGCGGAGCGGCCTCGGCCCCGCGCGTTCCGGCCCCTCCATCAGCACCAGCACGTGACTTCACAGCACGTGACACCACGGCAACCAATCACAAACCCCGCCCGTGGCGCGTAACTACTACGTCATCACCTGATCATAACAACAATAAGATGACGTATACACATGGCGCCGGAAGCCACAGCCTCACACCGCGAGCCCCGGAAGGGGCGATGGTCGAAGAGGAGAGTTTTGAGGCGGGACTTGAAGGCAAAGGAGGAGCCGAGACGGAGTGACTGGGGATGGAATTCCAGAGGTTGGGGACAGAGTGGCTGAAGGCACTCCCACCAATGGTGGGGCGGGTGGGGCGGGGGATGTGGAGCAGCCAGAGTTGGTGGGTTGGTAGGGGGTTAGGAGGTCACAGAGGTAGGGTGGGGTGAGGCCATGGAGGGCTTTGTATGTGAGGACCAGGATCTTGAACTGGATCGTCTTGAAGGATAGGGAGCCAATGGAGTCGGGCGGGAGTGGGGGAGTGCAAACTTGTACGCCCCAAATACACTATTCCCACTGGCGGTGGGTCGGGAACCCGAGGACACCGATTTAAAATAGTTGTTAAAAGAAACAGAGGGGAGGGGAGGAGAAATGTTTTCACACAGCGAGTTGTTGGGATCTGGAATGCGTTGCCTGAAAGGCCGGTGGGAACCGATTCGATAACAGCTTTTAAGAGAGAAGTAGATAATTATTTGGGGAAGACAAGTTTGCAGAGCTATGGGGGAGAGGGGGGGAGTGGGGTTGATCAGGGCTACGAGGAGAGAGCGGGGGAGAGTGGGGTTGATCAGGTCTATGGGGAGAGTGTGTGTAGGGGGTGCAGTTGATCAGGCTTATGGGGAGAGATTGGGGGAGTGGGGCTGATCAGGGCTACGGGGATAGAGCGGGGGAGTGGGGTTGATCAGGGGAGTGGGGTTGATCAGGGCTATAGCGAGAGAGCATGGGGGTGGGCTTGATCAAGGCAATGGGGCGAGAGCGGGGGAGTGAGGTTGATCAGGGATATGGGGAGAGAGCGGGGGAGTGGGGTTGATCAGGGCTACGAGGAGAGAGCGGGGGAGTGGGGATGATCAGGGCTATGGGGAGAGAGTGGGGGAGTGGGGTTCATCAGGGCTATGGGGAGAGAGCGGGGTAGTGTGTTTGATCGGGGCTATGCGGAGAGCGCGGGGGAATGGGGTTGATCAGGGCTATGGGGAGAGAGCGGGCGAGTGGGGTTGATCAGGGCTGTGGAGTGGGAGCGGGGGGAGTGGTGTTGATCAGGGATATGGGGAGAGAGCGGGGGGAGTGGTGTTGATCAGGGATATGGGGAGAGCGCATGGGAGTGGGGTTGAGCAGTGCTATGGGGAGAGCGCGGGGGAATGGGGTTGATCAGGGCTCAGGGAGAGAGTGGGGGAGTGGGGTTGATCAGGGATATGGGGAGAGAGTGGGGGTGGTGCGGTTGATCAGACCTAGGGGGAGAGTGCGGGGGAGTGGGGTTGGTCAGGGCTATGGGGAGAGAGCGGGTTAGTGGGATTCAACAGGGCTATGGGGAGAGAGCGGGGGAGTGGGGTTGATCAGGGCTAGAGATGGTGAGGTGAAAGGGGGGTGAAAGACGGGGGGAGAGAGGGAGAGTGAAGTGGGGAGTGAATGTGAGGGGGAGAGAGGGAGAGATTGAGAGGGAGGGTTAAGGGTAGGGAGTTTCTGGAAGCAAAAGTGATTGTGAGAGGCTGTGAGATAGAGGAAGAGGAGAGAGAAAGTGGTTGAGAAGAGGGGAGGTAGAGTGTGAGAGAGAAGAGAGTGTGAGAGGGTGTGAGAAATGGAGTGAGAGAGTAATTGAGAGTGTGTGCAAGAGAGAGGGGAGAGAAGGAGAGTGTTCCCCTCCTCTGCTCCATCCTCCCCTTTCACTCCCCCCTTTCCACTCACCTCTATCCACCCCCCATCCACCTCACTCTCTCCCAATCAGCCGTGCGGGTCACTTTCTGCAGTGGCAGGACTAAGTTGCTAAGGATGTACGGTTGGTAAGAGACGTGCTTGCCTTCCTGGCAGACACAGTAATGGCCGGTATTATTTCCACTCTCCGCCCTGTGCTGCCAGCTCCTGCCACTGCCCTGGGAGGATGTTCAACAGGGAGGGAGGGAGCGGAAGTTGAAATGTTACAAATGGTCTTGGGCCGGATGTGGCCCGCGGGCCGCCATCTGGCCCACATGGACTACCCGCCAACCTTTCTCAAATAGGGAATCCGACCCATGGCAGCTGAAAGGTTGGACTGATCTATCTGATGGACATCTGCCTTCTGCATGGTGGGATGATCTTTACAGGACAGCTTGTGATGTGCCAACCACCTCAATGTTCTCGACGCCCATGTCAAATGTCCAACCAAGCTATGAGTCTTACTGAGACACATCCAGCTCCTCCTGTGAGGGGCCTTGGCAAATACACGTGCCACTGTGAAGCCAAATCTGCCTCCAGGGTGTTAAGAGAAAGTTCAGTATAGGCCGAAGCCCTCCCTCCCAACAGCCACTTCCCCTCTTTACCACAAATCCACCTCACTGCTTGATCTTGGACTTCATCAATGGGCCTGAGGAAGCCTCTCTGCTATATTCCCAGGAGCTCAGAATCATAAAGTGTTTTATTTAATAAATACATTAAATAAGATGGGTGACCTTATCTCACCCCCTGTTTGCAAACAGGTCTTGTTCACACAAACTTCACTTACATCCCATTGGGTGACGCAGTGTTTAAGATGGCAGCTCATAAGATCCCTGTCTTTCTTAAACAACTTTTAATTATTGGGGGAGGACAAGTTTGTCGGGCTTTGGGGAGAGAGCGGGGGAGTGGGATTGATTTGGAAGCTCTTTTTAAAGAACCGGCACAGACACGATAGGCTTAATGGCCTCCTTCTGTGCTGTATAATTCTGTGACTCTATGAAGTGAATCTGCCAGCAGCACAATATGGTCTGCAAAGAGAAGTACTGCAATCCTGTCAGGAATATCTGGAGCAGATTCACCAAGTGTGAACCCCTTGATGGCATCCAAGACGTCATTGATAAATACATTAAATAAGCTGGGTAACAGCCTTTCTTATCCCCCTCCCCACATAAGAGGGACAAACTCAGTGAGTTTACTGTCAACTCTTACACGGATCTTGGAGCTGGAATACACATTATAATAATAATAATCCTTGCATTTGATATAGGGCTTTTCACGTCGGGAGGACGTCCCAAAGCGCTTCACAGAACACACTGTAAAGTGAATTGACTGTATATTACAGGACTCCATGGATGGAATCAAAGAATTGGCCATGTACTCCCATGGCCTCGAGAGTAACAGTGTCATTGTGAGAGCTTCATGAGGCACAAAGTCAAAGTTTTACAAAAATCGATGAATGGATTGTAGGTGGCTGTTCCCTGAGCCTTAAAACAATGCATAATCTCATACAAAGCCATAACCTGTTCCACACACTCCTCGCGAGAATCCAGCCTGTTCCCTCCGGCAATTGATGGGGAATGGTGGAGTGGGTGTTCTGGAGGGATGAGAATGGATGGCCCAAAGGGCCTTCTTCATCCAAACTAATCTTATGGACTCGGTCTCACTTGGGTTACCCTTCTAGTGGAGAGATACCATAACTGCAGTCTGGGACACTGACAGTGGGTGCTTCAGAAAGAATACTGTTCAAGAGCAGCTCCAAGGTGAATGGACATTTCCTGGCATGCCAGGTTCATCTACAAATAATCACTACACTTTATAGTAAAATTTTGTGAAGCTCTTTCAAATAATTTGATGATAGGATAAGGCATTATAACAACAAATAGACCCAATTAGACTAAATCTGCTTCACACCTTCCATCAGCTCTCCATCCCATATGCAGACAAATTTCTGCTATGGCCTGTCCTGCAAAATGTTTGCTCTGATCCCAAGGATACCCTAATGGGTCTGTGCGGAATACCCAATTTGTCCAGCACTGACACCAGCACCAGCTCAGAGGGGTTCTTCCAGCCATGGCTACCATCAGACCTCAGCCAATGGCTCACACATGAACAATGACCACATGCTTGGGTATTCGAGGGTAACTGGTGTTTATGCAACCGCAGCCAGGGAGAGAGTGAGGCTGGTGACCAGGAGCAAAGGCAGAACCTGGGGAGAGAATTAGAGAAATAATTGGACATACTAAATTGTTTTTAAATATTCCGTCTTAATTTTGAAGCTGATTTTCCTGTAGTCCTTAAAATCATACTTTATCATACCAAAGCATCTTACAATAATTGAAAAGAGAGTGTTTACACTGCTGTGCACAATTGGCTGCTGAATTTCGCCCACAAGTATACAGTCAATTCACTTTAAATATATTCTATGAAGCGTTTTGAGATGTCTAGAAGGTGTGAAAAGCTCTGTAGCAAATGCAAGGATTATTATTATAATATTATTATTATTACATGCACTTTCAGAAGACATTTGCTGAGGTCCTGTACAAAAGCTTATTAGCAAAAATGAAAGCACATGGAATCGGAGGTAACCTTGTGACGTTGGTTGGCAATTGGTTAGGAGGCAGGAAACAGAGTAGGGATAAAGGGAATGTTCTCCGATTGGCGGGATGTCAGTGGTGAGAGCACTCGCTTTGCAAGTGAGAGACCTGAGTTCAATTCCAGGCAGAGGGCGAAACCTTGGGCAAGTTTCCTTACTCCACACAGAGTCTAATAATAATCCCACCAAAAACCAAACAATAATAAATTGGTCATTTTCAATCCACGACTGTTTGTGGGACATTGCTGTGCGCAATTGGCTGCCGCGTTCGCCCACAAATATACAGTCAACTCACTTTACAGGTGTGTTCTGTGAAGCACTTTGGGACGTCCTCCCGACGTGAAATGCGCTATATCAAATGCAAGGATTATTATTATTATTATTAAGTGCTGTTCCCCAGTGGTCTGTACTGGGGCCTCAGCTTTTCACCATATATGTATGACTTTGATGATGGAATAGAAAGTTTTATATCAAAATTTGCAGATGACACAAAGTTAGGAGGCACCGTATACTGTGTAGATGGGAGCAGGAAGCTACAAAGGGATTTAGACAGATTAAGTGAGTGGGCAAAACTGTGGCAGATAGAATTCAATGTGG